GTCCTCTTACCCCCCACACCTCTGGTCTGTCCCCCAGTTCTGTGTGCATAAATAAATAAACGAATCTTTAAAAAAATAAAAACAAAACAAACTGCAGTGTAAGCCCAGAGAATCCATTCTCCTGAGTTCATTTCCTCATGAATAAAAGATGGGGCTAAATCTGGCTGGCCCCCCAGGGCTGGTGAAATGCGGATGGAGCGGGACACACAACTTGCTCCCCCCCCACCCCCTTTCCCTCCTTTCAAAAGGGTTCTAGATTCTTCTTGGAACAGGCCCGGAGTGAGAAGACCCAGTTCTTGCTTCTGGGAGAAGCAAGTGCTGCAGACCGTTAGCTCCGGAGCTGAAAGTGACCCCCAAATGTGCTGTTTGGCCTACTAAACGCTAGTCGGCCTTGGCGAGATAACCTGTGAAAACACGTCTGTCTCACGAGAAGGCCAAACGTCCAGCTATTTTTCACAGAGTGGAGCCGGCCAGTTCTGTGATGGTGTCCACGCCACTCACCTCTCCCGGGCCTCTGGGTCCTGTGCTCTATTATAGATTTTTTAAAAGATTTATTTATGTATACAGGAGCTGGGGTACAGGGGGTGAGAGGTCTCCCCAGACAGAGTGGGGAGCAGAACAGGCGGATCCACTGGAATCCCCTGCTGAGGGGGCAGCGGGGAGTCAGGAGGGGTCTGCTGCGCCCTGGGTCCCTCCCTGGGGGGGGCGGATCTCGTGCTGTGGGGCAGAGATGGCTTCCCCGAGCTGCGCCCAACCCGCTGCACCACCAGGGCCGCTTTTCTCTTTCCCAGTGGAAGCGCTTGGAGCCGTAAGTTTCCAGCAGCAGTGGCTTTATCTCCTGCTTTTGTTTCACCCAGCTCCGGTCTCGGTCTCGAGGTGTTTCCTGGCTTCCTCTGTGATTTCCTCTTGACCATGTGTGGCCCTCCCTGGGGGCGCAGCGGGTTAAAGTGCAGCACTGAGGAGCTAAAGCCACTGCAGCATGAGTTCCATCCCCGCCTGCCCCGGAGGTGACCCTCAGGGCGCGGCAGACCACTCCTGACATGCCCGCTGCTCCCCTCAGCAGTGTACTTCGTCGATCTGCCTGTTCTGCTCCCCACTCTGTCTCTGGTGAAGCCGCTCACTCTCCGCATCTCTGGCCTGTACCCCAGTTCTGTATGAATAATCTTTAAAAAAAAAAAAAGAAAGAAAGAAAAAGCATGTGCTCTGCTTCCCGTATTTGCCAGTGTCTCTGCCCCCATTAAGGGTCTCTGCGAGAGGAGCTGCCTCGCCCGCTCTCGCCCTTCGAAAGCGCCAGCGCGTGAGGTGCCCTGGTGCTGCTCTCTGCCTTGACAGGCCAGAAGGGAGCCGAACCCCGGGTTCACCACCCGAGGGCCCTCCGGCCCCTCTGACATCTGTGTGTGATTGTCAAGCTGGGCAGGGGAGACCAGGCCTGTCCTGCTGCTCACCGCGGGAGCACATAGCTCTGGGCGCTCGGTTACCAGAGGCCGGAGGGTCCTGGCCGGCCCTTAGGGGCGCTCAGGGGAGGCGGGAGTGCGGCTGGCCCCAGGCGCCGGGCTGGACTCCTGGTGGCCAAGGACACGTCTGTGCAGCAAACACGGAACCAGGTGGGGGGGCACAGAGTGCCTGGAGGTCCGGGACGTGGCTGAGGCGCCGGGAGGTGGTGGCCAGACAGCGGGAAAGGCAGGCGGTGGCAAGACCGTGAACATTGCGGAGCGCACTCCCTGGAGCTGATAGCGCAGCCCGGGAAGGGGCAGGCCTGGGCCGGTGCTGAGCGGGCTGGGGAGCCCTGGGGACCTCCCGTTGCTGAAGCCCGGGGCCTGGGGGTCTGCTGAGTGCTCGGGAGAGGGGTCTACACTGGGGGTGGGGGGCGGGGCTGTGCCTCCCAGGAGTGGACCTTGAGAAACAAAGGGGAAGTAAGACAAAGATCTGGTGGTGAGGACAGCAGGGGCGGGAGACCCGGGCCTGCACGTCTTCGCCGAATTGCACAAGCTGACCGGTATCCTGTCCTGTGACCGCGGGCACCGCTGGGCGGGGCTGCCAGCAGAGTCGGCCGCTGCCGGAAGCCCGAGGGTCCCCAGCACCCTGGTGCGCAGGGCTGAGTCTCAGCACAGTGTCGCCGTCCACAGCCACTGTGACAAGTTCGATCCCCGGCCAGGGAGCGACTCACACAGTGCAGCAGACCTCTCCTGTCTCCCCACTGCCCCCCTTGTTACAGGGCAGTGAGAGGCACCCTTGAACCCCCAAACCTGCCTGCTCTAAATAGGTTCTGCCATCGGCCTCATCTACACAAAACATAGAAGCCCTTTTATGGAAAAGAGATTTAATGCAATCAGTGTGCAATACAGAAAAGACATCTGAAGTCACCCGTTCCCCTCGTGGATAAAAGTCCCCCCAGAAGGGACTGGCCCGGAGCAAGGCCTGAGAGCCCGTCACAAGGCTAAAGCAGCTTCCTGCGGGGACCCACAGAAAAGGGTCAGACATGGCCAGACGAGTCTGGGAGGAAAAGAGCAACATCAAAATCAAGATAAGCTGCCATCGTCACCTCCCCACGGGTCTCCCCCACATCTGTGTCCCCCAGTCCAGGCCCAAGAAACAAGAGCTACTTCACGCATCTCTGCCCCCTGCACCCCTCAGGCCTCCTCCTGGCTCCATCCTGCTTCCTTCTCCGCAGCCTCCTCTCCAGATTCTCCTCCCTGCTCAGCTCCAGCCTCCTCTGGGTGGGGCAGGAACCTGGACCCCCCCTTTCCTGGGGGCCCCCCTGTTACACCCTCAGCAGTGGATTTCAGTAGATCTCCTGCTCTGCTCCCCACTCTGTCTCTGGGGAGTCCTCTCGCCCCCACACCCCTGGCAGCTCCCCAGCTTCTGTATGCATAAGCAAATAAAATAAATGTTAGTTTTTTTTAAACATCTCCAAGCCCTTCGGAGACTGCCTTGAGCAGCCGAACTGTGGTCCCGCCGGGCACGACCCTCCCTCGAACCCTCAGAATAACCACCGCAAATCCGGACGTCCCAGACTCCGAGCCATAGAGGCAGCAGGAGCTCAGTGGTGGCCAGGCGTTCCTGGGCCAGGACTGCAGAGCCGAAATGGGGTTAGGTGCCCCCGAAAGGGAGGGTCTCACAGAGCATGCGGCCTTTCAAAGGGGCGGCTATGGCAGTGAGCCCCGTTTGTAATGTGTGACGCCTCCTCTATCTAGTTCCAAAATACTTCTGTCACCCCAAAAAGAAAATCCGGCTCCTTAAACAGTCACCCCCACTTCTCCCCACCCGCTGGCAGCCCCAGCTCCCCTCCCCCTTGGGGAGTTCCTTCACTTGAACGGAACCATGAAATGCCGGTGTTGGGGTCTGCCTCTCACTCGGGGCACCCAGCCGCCCATGCAGCCGCAGCACTGCTCTGTCTTTTGGGGGCACAGGCCCACGAGGGCCACATGTGCTGAAGGGGCCCCGCGGGTGGCGGGGTGCTCCCGGCCTTTGGCGAGACCCGTAGCCTCTGCCTGCTCCTCAGTCTTGGCTCCTGGTGAGAGACCAGGGGGTTCCAGGGTCTCCCCTGGTTCCCCAGGAAAGGGCTGAGCAGCTCACGCTGGACCTTGCGCCCTGAGCACCCCTGGTGGTCGAACTTGGGGTGATGAACCATGGCCAGGGTAGGAGGGGAGACGCTGACTGCCCGTCAGGAAGCGGCCGACTGGGTGGTGCCTGGGAGGCGCCGCCAGAGACACGGGTCTGTGGGTTCAACGGTTCCGGGTCTGGGGACTATGGGCTCCCGCCCGGAGCCCCACCCTGGCGTCCTCATCTATTACTTGGCTTAACTGAGTTTAAAAAATCACAGCCTTCACCACCTCGGTCATCTCCCCAGTGTGGCTCGGGTGACAGAGCCCCAGAGGGCCCACACACTCTGGGGGTGCCACATGCAGGACGGGAAGGAGGAGCCCCAGGAGCAGCTGGGGGGCCCCAACCCTGTCCGACTCTGCTGTGCCCTCAGGGCCGCCCCTGGGTCCAGGCTTGGCTGGGAGGCGGCCTCGTCCCCTTAGCGACGCCCGGGCCCCGCTCTCCCCGCCCCCAGACAGCGGGGGTCCCCCAGCGCGGGGATTGGCGCGTTCAGGGTGGGGAAACGCGGCTCCCAGAGTCCCATTGCTCAGCCAGGGCGGGCGCGCAGCCCCGCGCCGCCAGCAGGGGGCGCTGCGGGTGACCTCGGCCGCGGGGTCTCCGCTGTCCACCGGCCAGTTTACCGCGGGGCGCCGCGGCCCGGGGGTGACGTGGGGGTAGACTCTCGGTGCGGGGCTGGGTGGGGGTCTGGGTGGGACCCGCGACCCCCGGGCTCTCCTTTCTATCTTGGACAGAGACGCCACTTCTCTGGGAGCCCCGACCCGTCCTCAGAGAAGCCTTCTGGGGTGCGGCGTCGGGAGGGGCCCAGGGGGCTGCTCAGTGCCTGAGGTTGACCTCGGAGTACTCAGAGGCCTCCTGGCCCTGACGGGTCCTGGGGGTCCCCTTGGGGAGACTGAGGGAGGCGTAATGCAGCTCCTGCTCCTCCTCTGAGGGGGCCCCCGCCGGGTCTGGGGGGTGCCGAGGCCTGTCAGCTGGAGATCCTTGCTGGTGACCCTGAGGAGAGGAGGGACAGGTCAGTCCCGGGGTCTGGAGAGGGAACTGGGGCTCAGGGCTCTGCTCACTGGCCACTCACAGCCCTCCTGGGGCGTCGCTCACACTCACACTCCCTGTCACTCATCCGCTCCCAGATTTTCATCACAAGCCTGGTCCTCACTCCTCTCCCTGAACCCCCACCCTGCCTGGTTGGTGTCACCATCGCCCCATTTCACAGACCTGCAGACACAGGGTGTCCGGTCTCCCCAGCACTCGGAGCACCCCTGAACCGTCCCCCGAGCCCAGCTTTGCAAATTGGGGCTTGAGGCCAGAGTAGGGGCAGTGGGTGGGGGCCCAGCAGAGACGCAGAGTTATCTGGCCCTCGAGGCCAGTGCGCAGACGGGCGGCCAGGGACGAGGGGTGTGGCCGCTGGCCAGCAGGGCCTGTTCCTCACACACTCGCACGGAGAAGGCAGCGGTCTCCCTCGTGATTCACACACGGATGTGGGTATATCGTTGGGGTGATGGTACTGGTGGGCACAGGCTGAATTAAGTGATCACTTTAGACTTGGCCTTGTGTGTCTGTCCCGGGGTCACGTGGCTGCTGACAGGAGGCCCCGATGTGTCTGCCCCACCGGAAGTGAGGGTGCAGAGGATGGGGGTGCTGAGTGACAGCTGTTTGGGAGTGTCTTGCCAAAGCTTTTTGGGGAGGGGAGCTGGGGGTGAGGCCGGGACCTGAGAGAGAGCCCAGGATCAGGGGTGCAGCCTGGGACGCAGGGGGGTGAGGAAAGTTACATATGGGACCTGAGTGGGACTTGGGGGTCCTGGGAGCAGGGAGGGGGGCGCAGTCCCTGGGTTGCATGCTCCAGGGGAGCCAGGGGAGGAAATGGGATGCAGACCAGGGAGTCCCTAGGGCCCTGGCCGAGCCCCTGAGGGTCCACCCCAGAAGTCCTGTCCACTGAGTCACTCACCCCGGGGCGGGCTCCCCC